TTGCTCGCTAGGACACTTGCTCGCTAGGATATTTGCTCGCTAGGACACTTGCTCGTCTGGACACTTGCTCGAAAAGGACAGTAACTCGCAGGACAATTGCTCGTCGGATACTTGCTCGCAAAACTACTTCGCTGTGTATATATGACTAAGATATAAAAATAAGCTTTAAGGACAACAACCAAAAATAAAAAATACGAGAGGACCAAAAAAGTTCTAAATAAAAAAACATCGAATGTGTTCTAAATAATTCCTGCCGACCGTATGTGTATTTTGAACCAGGTCTTTCAGGTATTTGCTCAAGAATTCGTTCTTTCGCTTTGATGATCGACGACCGAACATCAGGATGAGAGTACGGATAGATGCCTGAATTTTCTCTTTACCTTTTCCTCAGCTACCCATTACCACTAGATAGCTATACAAGAGGAGACAAAATAAAATTTCCTTAGCACAAGGTGCTTTGCCGTAGTTCAAATTGTAAAGTTTGACGAAGTATCGTAAAGTATTTGAGCTTTTATTTAGGATAAATTCATATTGAATGATTTCAAACCAGTACTTCTGTAACACACATCTATGATAGACTTAAAAAGCGAAAAACATTTCGGAGATAGCTTTTAAAATCCTTCAAGTTGGTTGAAATGTGGTGAAGTACGACTGAAGTACAGAAATTTTGCTTTTTCCTCCTTGTGACTATATGATTCGCGAGCAACTGTCCGGCGAGCAATTGTCCTGCGAGTTACTGTCCTTTTCGAGCAAGTGTCCAGACGAGCAAGTGTCCTAGCGAGCAACTGTCCGACGAGCAAGTGTCCTGCGAGCAACTGTCCTAAACCCAAAAAAGATATTGTTGAAATTTTTTTACCTTATCATCATCATCATCCTTCATAACAAAAAAATCTTTTTCAATCATTGCATAATGATAAATAGCAAAAAATTTTTCGGTAAGTCATACATAGCATGATTGAATAATATTTCATTTAATTTTTCTTTATTCATTTTTTTTATCTGAAAAAGAATACCCAACAATATGTAGTTAAAATTTTTCGTTGATATTCAATAAAATTCATTAGCAATAAAAACTAAATAATTGATTATCTAAAATAACCAAAAATATTTTGAAAATATCGATCAAAAAAAACACACAAGAGGCATCTTTCGATTTAAATAATCATTTAAGTAAAGGAATTTTCGTTATCGATTGTTATTTTGAACGTCATTTTTTTTCTTTCTTACGTCTATCTATCTATCTTAGATAGGGGCTGTTAGCGTCAACAGATGACACTATGTTGCCGCTAACTAATTTAGTCTCTGTCCTTTGGTCATTTTGTTTTGTCCTTCCTTCCATATATAATTTGTCTTCCTGTCGTTTATTTTTTTTTCTCTCTCTCTCTCCTATATATATATGCTTTCATTAGTTATCATTACTGGTCAGTTGATTATCTTGTTGTTATCATTCATCCTTCTGAACAACATCTCTTTTCTCTCTCGTCCCCTCACCTATTATAAACCTTATTTTTCCTCTCTTTTATTATTACTCGTATATCTATGATCTTGTCTTTTTCCTTATCATCAATAAACTCTAAACTACCTACATCTCAACTATCATTTTCCTTATTGCTGGATACATTATTCAGGTAGGCAGTTTTCCTTTTACGTGTGATATCTCAGAACTATATACAGACCAGACACTTTTCTGTAGTTATCTTCCCGCTTACGAATAGAAAGTGTGCAGGAGATTTAGGATAACATACGAAAAGCTAACTAGATATACATAGGTACTACGTATCATTGAGATTGAATGAAATGAAAGGATAAAAAAAGACAGGAACAATGTATTGATTATATAAATACTTCATTTAAATTGACTTTCTACTAGATTTAATTTAAAATCAAATTTGTTTTTGAAAAAAAGTTCACCGAGAAAAAGTATTTTTCTTGGTGATAAAAAATTCTTCATAAACATTTAAGTTAGAATTATTAGTCAATAAATTTTTTTTTTCTTATATGATACAACTATTTTTCATAAATCTCATATTATCATGTGTGAACATTTTCATATGTATACATCGATTTAAAATATTTGAATAAAATATAAAGAGTTTTCTTCTGTCAAAATACATTTATTCTATATAAATTCAAATTTATTTAAGTAACAAATGAAAATAGTTATGATACATCAACATTAAGAAAATAATCTTTGAAATGTTTTGGAAATCGCAAATTTGTATCTGAACAAATATATCTCACTTTCGAACAATTGATACGTGTTGCTTTTCGTTTAAAATTGTATGTTACTCTCTTTAAAGGTTCATAATCGACATGAAGATAAACACCATATGGTAAACATGTTTTTGTATCAAGTAGAAATTGTTCGACATAATCATCATGAGCTTCATCCAAAACAAGACGCTTTAGATGAGAATATCCAATAACGAATAAATCTTGATTGATATTTTTAAACTTTTTACATTGTTTATGCTTTTGTGCTTTTCTATTAATTATAGCTAAACGTTCCATAAATGGAAATGATTTTTGAATTCGAATAAAAAATTCATGTTCAAAAGGATGTTCATCAAATAATGATACTTCACAAACACATGTAAATAATCCACCTGGGAAATTATTTGCAATATTATCATAACGTCTCATTGTGTATGGATATGAATAGATATGACATTGACCTTCATTATCTTCTTGAAAATAATTGACACAAGAAATTATTTCATTATTTAAAAAATCTTTGAATGTATGTTGAATATCTTTATTAGATGGTAAATCAATTTGATCTTTTAACAATATAGTTGAACGAATACTAAATCGAAATTGATTTAATTGTGGTAAATAATCAATAATATTTTGTTTCAAGTCATTTCCATTAATAAATCTATTACGACAAACGTGCAATAAATACAAACTAAGTTGTTCTAAATTTGACATTCGATGTAAAAGTGGTATAATTATTGTATCATAGAATTCTGTACTCAAAACACAAGTTAATGAAAAACATCGTAAATTTGGTAGTTTTTCCTAAAAGATAAATTATATATTGTGGTAGCCTTTAATAAAATTATACCTTATTTATTATTAAGACCGAACGAGAAGGAAATAATAATCCTATATCAACACAGAATGTCCGCAGTTGATTGAAACGACCATCAAGTAAATAAAGACAATCTTCAACACAAATAACTTTGACATATAATTCTAATAAAGTTGAAGAGAACACAGTTGGAGGTGAAGAGAATGATATTCGTTGATAACAAAGAAAAAATGGATCGAAATTTAAATATTTTAAGTTAGTGAACATATTAAAAATATGTGTGAACATAGTTGTATCCAAATTTATTGTTGTATCTTGTATGTTAATAGTTTGAATCGCAAATGACAAGATGTCATTTTTAAATTGATGCATTAAAGAAGTTTTATCTAAATATAAATACAAAAAATAATTAATGATCTAGTTATAGTATTTATTCTTTTAATCATCTTTCTTTTCTTTGTTTATACAAAAAAAATTATTTTACGATATAATCAAATATCGTAGATATCTAACTCTATAAAGTTATTCAGAATTATTCGAATTGTTATTCATTTTAATATATCAATTTTATTAAAAGATATCAAAAATTATTTTACCAGTGAATAGATTTAAAGCAGACTGTTTTTCAATGTTATATATACCAAATCCAAATAAATTTGGATAATTTACAGAAAGAATACGTTTCATAGATAATGGTTCAAGATCAAGCCATTTGATTTTATGGCCTATTTTAGGTAAGATCTGTAAACAAAATCGATCAAGCATTAAGTCAGATAATGGATAAATACAATCACACGATACATAATTGAATAATGTTAAACTATGAGTAAAAGTAGAATCATGTACAATTCTATTGAATCGTTTATTAACACCTATGAAAGAGTATAGTACATCAAGTTCACTTAACTTTTTGAAAATGATAAAAATAATTTCATCAGGTAAATCATTCAATTGAACAGATGAATAATCCATCTTGATCTATATGTATATCTATTTTTCTTACGTTATAAATATCAATAATTGTACGTATATATTTATAGTCACTCGTTCCATTTGACCGATATCGTCAATAAAAACAATGTTGTGTATTTTTTCTAGTCTAATGATGTAAATAGGCAATGAATGAATGATATTATTTATCACACTTGACGAACATTCTTTTTAAACAGTCACATCGTATACGGGTGGGTACAGCTTGATTGTGAACATTTTTTTCGACTAATTAAAAAATATTCGCAAAGTAGAATTGAGATAGAGAGATAAAAATATCCACATTATAGAATCAAGGAAAAATTTATAAAAGTAAAGAAGTACAAAGATACAAGTAGTACAGGATGATTAAATATTTAACTATTTTTAGGTTCATAATCTAGATTACGACTTGTCCGCAGGTAACGCACTCATGTTTTAATAACTTTCCATCTTAATTTATCAGAAATAACTAAACAGAGCTCTGAAATTTGGTACATAGATGCATACTACCAAGTTGTTTAATGTTCAAAATTTTCATCTCAACTCATTTTATGGTTCACATTTTACAAGGAAAATGTTTACCGGTAACGCACTCACACAACAGGCCCCCTTTTTTTTGGGTGGTATCGGAGATGGTTCATTTTCCACAAATGCGTACGTTACAATGACATATGAACGAGAGCAAGTTTGTAGTAGACTGTCTGGACTATCCGCTGAAAAACAAGACAGTTTTAAAAATGTTGTCCTACTGTTGAGCTACACATCAATTACTACGGTAATGCACTCATTCAACTTTATAGAGCTTACTAAAAGTGCTATTTTCACAATCTTCACAAAAAATAGGAGATGATCTGTTTATGCCAAACTGTAGATTTAGCATCAAGATCACTAGCAATATCTTCATTTTTGATCAGAACTAAAACACTGATCGAAATATGATAAGAGACAAAAATGGATTTTCAAGTGATTTTTGCCTAAAAATGCTTCATTTTGGCTGGCAACTACTGTTCCTTCTCGAAATCTTCCAGAATAAACCAGATAGATCGACGCAGAATGTACGAAAATCTATTTAAAAACTTGAATTGAATATAATTAGTTGTACTCTGAATGAGAATTTCAGCTCTCAACTTTAATAACGCTGGGCGACCGTTAGCCGGACAAGCTGATTATCCTTGTCAGATGTGTCCAATACATGAATATATCGATAACAAAGAGAACTCAATCTCTTTTGATAACCATTTAAACCGAAAAGACTTGAACACCACGTGCCGTCCAGTACTAGACTAGCTCGATCGAGATCATATTCTTTCTTGAATCGAGCTGCCTCAACAATTATCTTACTATTTCTATTTTGTGGAACTCACGTATATTTTCAAAGAAAATAGTGAGTGTAAGTTTTAAGTTCAAGGTTTGGCGGTTTTCTCCCCACCCCCTCCCCTATTACAGACTTTAGCGATGGAGAATAAAAGATGTTAGATTTTCTAGAGTTTGAAAAATTGCTCAAGTTATAATTCTGAAGATTAGTCAACATTATTGTTTGTGAGTTGATTAACATATATATATAAAATAGTGCATAAGATATGCTGTAGATATCATGGATATGTAAAATAGATTTATTTGCCGATTCAATGATTATAATAATAAGAATATTAAATTAAAAAAACACGAATAAAAAAATAATAAAAAATAATGGACGAATAGCAACAATGCAAACAAAAAATAGGGCGCTCATAGAAGAAAAAATTTCTATTTTCAATGTAGAAATAAATAATAAATTCTCGCTCTTGTCATCGATTATTAGTGAAAACAACTACAGTCAACGAGAAATTTTTCAGTTTATGGATGATGTATTAGGATAACAAGGTTGAATGATATACGTGAATTCCACATTTCAGCTC